GACACTGTTCTGCTTCCCACACTCCAGGCAAGGTTCGGAGCGCCAAGCTCTCCACTCTGTCTTGACGATGTGCCCGCGCCTGCTTTTCGGATGTTGGCCTTGAAGTTGCTGCTGCGCTGCAGGATGTACTGTCGCCACTCATTCCAAGCAGCAGGTCGTCACAGATCTGCCGAACCCAAGATCCCTCGTAATGAAGGATAGCCCAAATAGATGCGTCACCAACCATCACAAGAGTTCGCAGGAAGCCAAGACGACGCATTCTGCAGATGATCTCCAGACTGCACATATCCAAACTGGCTGGAACATCCATACAGCGTACTGCAAAGATATCCTCCGGTGGCAGGTGCGGCTGAAGCAGTCTCCTTTGCAACAGGGAGTATCCGCGTGAGGGGTGGTCCCATCCCTTACAGCATGGCACCCAAAGTGCCAAGTTGAAGAATACAACCCAAACAACTTAGTACGAGTAGATCTGCAAATTGTAGGGTTCGAGAGCGCCCAGACGAAGCTTGGCCTCAGGGAGCATACAACCATCGCGGCGCAGCACTGTGCCTAAGTGAATGTATCTTACCTCAAGGAAGACACTCACAAGCTTCTTGTCCGCAGCGGGGATTTCCAGCACTTGCTCGTTCTTTTGGAAGAACTGTCGACGAGCAGCACGGCTGTGTCTTCCCCTCAAAGCCAATAGAATGGCAGATTTCCTTCGCTTCAAGTTGGGTTGCGCGCCGTGTTGGTGGCAGCCATCGATGACAAGTCCTGTCAGCCGCTTGGCCTTACAAAGGGCTTCCATAGCCAAGCTGTCCCCAGCACTGGGTCATCTGCCCACGTCGCACGCACTGGTCCATTGACTGTCACTCACTGGGCCCTCCCCACCGGCAAGCGGCGAGGGCATCCCTCGGAAGGGGATCTCAAGCACAAAGCCTTCCCCAACTGCAGCCTGCTTGATCTCATCGAGAAACTTATATGGTACACAAAAAAGACAATGTCAGCCCAAGACTCACCAGGTCTGGATCCAGATTTGGATAGCGCATTGGTTGAACCATCAGTGTAAGGGGCGACGAACCAGTAGGGCGTGGAGGTCTTACACCAATGCTACTGCGCCATAACGCCACCAGCATGGACCACCTCCATGACTCCATGAGCTCATGTAAAGCAGCGGGGGGAACTCCAAACCTGTCAAACAACGCCACGACTATTGGGTCCAACGAACCGAGGGCAAGCTCTCTGACAACTCTGTAGCACGCGCTCCGCGTATCCAGAAATATCGCGCAGCGCCTGGACCTGAGGCTCTTGCCAGCAAGCGCGCAGCAAGCAAATGCAAAGTGACAGGTCGCTTCTTGCGTCCACCGCAACGCAGTATCCAGCGTTTGTTCCACAACGTCCGTGGCCTTGTCCGTGAGAACGCGGCGGTAGCACTTCCCAGGTACACCGGAGACAAAGAGCGATCTATAGTTGTCCGCAATGGTAGGCGAGCCGTTATGCTTGGAGGGCTCAAAAAGAATGCCCCTTCTCGCGCAATGGAGATAGTTGACTTCACCATGAGGGGGTGGAAAAGCCTGGCCAGTAAGTGCGGTACTGGATGTCCTAAGTGTGGTTGAAGCGACGCAATCACTTTGCATTGATTGTTTGGAGAGGAATCTACAGTCAGCTTGCAACAGTGGCCCACGGCCACCAATTTTGTCTGGGGCCAAGTTTTTCCCGCTTGAAATGGCCGATGAGTCTGATTCAGAAGCTTTTCAAATGGCAGAGAGGTCATGCCCTACTCCGGTCCCTCATCTGCAACTCCCGGCTGATCGCCTCAAGGCCTCTCAGTGTAAGTCGAGGAGAACGCGGAGAAGGAGACAAAGGACCAAAAAGCTAGACCCTCAGCCCAAGCCAAGACAGGTGGCACAGAGTCGAGTCTCTCCTCTGCAACGGGCACCAGGAAGACCTTGAGTCTGAGGTACTTCAGCTTGAAGAGTTGCTACCGGAATCGCAATCAGAGTCACTTCAAAGATGGACCATTGATCGGCTGCTCAACTATATCTCTGAAGGGCAATCTGTGGGACCCAGTGCTATAAGATTTGCCATCCAGGATGTTTCCCACCAAAGGGGAACCAAACCACTTAAAGAGGCCTTGCACATCAGGTGCTCCAATGTCACTCAACGCAGGCCAGAAATCATTAGGTGGTCGCAGACCTGCACGGAGGATGTCATTGCTATCCAGGAAACTCATCTCCATGGAACGGCCCTAAGAGACTTTGTTCGGAAGCTTTCAGGCGCTGGCTACAGAGTCTTTGAAGGAGAGTCTCTTCCGACTACTGGCCATCACTCCAGAGGTGGCATGGCCATCCTGTGTCGGAAGCACTTAGCAACGAGAGACGTTTTCACCTTTCTTCTGGAAGGATGTGGTTTTGCGGCGGCGGAATTGCGGACTGGTTGCGCAAATCTCCTTCTTGTAAGCCTGTATCTCCAGAGTGCCACGCCGGCAAACCATTTCCCTAATGTAGACATCGTCTCTGACCTGCCCACAGTGATATCCAGCTGGCACGGTCCATGGATTGTTTTGGGGGATTTTAATCTTACACCTTTAGAAGTTGCGGAGGCTGGTATACCGGTTAAAGCCAAGGGCGTGGTGTCACAACAGTCTTAAATGACTCCAGCACACCACACCGACCTCCTTCCAGCCTTTGCTTGATCTCCACCTTGATCAGGCCAAGAAAGGAGTCACGCAACTAAAGCAATGGCCTGAACATTGGGGAGGAGAAATCCTTAGCGCTAATTGGAGCCCAATTTCTACAGGCGCCCCGCTCGAGCGCTGGTTGGATGAGCCTCTCTCCAACAGTGAAGCTACAACAACATTCGCAGCTATTTCTAGGCAAATTTCTGCCCTTTTTCTGGAGCCTGAGGATGGTAGGGGTGTTAAGTTTATGCTGCAACGCAAACCGCTTGTCAAAACTGCGCCAATCTGCAAGCCCAATTCTCTTGGAGCCTGGCAGAGGTTAGCACGGTGGTTAGTGGCGGGAGATCTTCCTCCCACTCTCCACGCACCCTTCAATAAGCTAGCCGAATATCTGCAACTGGAGGACCCCAGCGCCAGTCAGATGCTTCAGCAGACCTTGCTGAACGCGCTCCGTGACAAGGCAGTTATAAACCAAAAACAGGACAAACATACTCAAAAGAGCAGCTATCAAGAATGGTTACAGCAAGCAGCGCGAGGCAGTTTGAAGCCCATTTATAGATAAAGCACATGAGGCACAGGTTGTTAGACCGCTTCTTGACCCCTGCCACGGCCTGCACATCCAGCCATCCATGTTCCGATGTGGCCAGACCAGTCCCAGCCGGGGGCTGGCCGATGCCCGCTATCTTGTGGTGGCCCATCCACAGCAGTCCGAGTTTGTACTCCGCCTTGACCGTCACTGCTTTTGCCCGTCTTCTCGGCAATCTCCAAGACTGTCCTCTTGGTCTTCGACATCTGCTTGGTGCGACGCCTCTGTTCAGGAGACTCGCTAATGGCGAGCCACACCTTGGCGGGATTTCCCCGCGGGCGCTGGAGCTTCGCTCGGTCTTCGCCCCTTCGAGGTGCGAGTGGGACAATGAGGATGCCCTTCTGTCGCCCTGGCATGAACGCCTCAGCGAGGTCTAGGTCGAGGCCAACTTCCTCACCGAACTTGCGAGCTAGCTGCAACACCTCATCCTCTTCCAGGTTCGTGCTCCAGCCTCCCATGACCATTGCACGGGGTCTAGGTCCCTCCATGCCTTCATCGTCGAATGCAGCTTGCCTCCACATCTTGGGTCCAGCACGGTCCAGGCGGCTCAAGACTTCCTGAATTGTGGCTGCCGTAGCTTTTTCTCTCGCTTTGCTCTGTCGTGAGAGTTTCCTTGGCTTGCGCCGCAATCTGCTCCTGCATGTTTTCGACCTGCTCGTTCATCGCCTTTTGCCTTTTGTCCAGGGTCCGGATCAGCTCCAGCGCGGACACGACTTTGGTCATCACTTCCTCCTCTATGTGGGCTATACGTTTCTGCATGTCTTGGAGCCCGCCAGTGACTGGGGCTGGCGCTGTGGCCAACTGTGCAGTAAGCTGGTCAAGGGTCAAGGCGGGCGCAGATGTCACCGTAGGTTGAATGTCCCACTTGGTTCTCTTCGTGGGCGAGTCCGCATTCGTCCGGGTAGTCGGTGCATTCTGTAGCTCATCTATGTCGACCTCAATGGGCGTGGCCGCCGCTTTCTGCAGCGCCTCATTGGCCGCCGTTGCTGCCGGCACCGACGTCATCTCAGATCACCTTCAGGAGCGCTCTCGACTATGTTGTCCCGGCGGGCCTTCAGCTGGAGGACGCAAAGTACAGCGACTCCTCCCGCCCTGGTGGATGTCAAGGCAACGGCTCAGCGACACAGCGAATCACAGGCTGGCAAGCTAGCACAGGGTCTATGTTGGCTGCACCTTACAGGCGTGCAATAGCCTTGTCTGGTAGACAGCTGCCCGAGTCGCCCAAGCCCCCCCTTGCTAGGGTCGTCCACCCACGCCTGCAGCAGGGCCTACCCACCACCGCAGACGCGGGCCGCCCGGAGGACCCCACAACCGAGGCCGCGAGGTGGCAGGAGACTTGAGCCAAAATGGCTACGCCCCGTCCCCGTTCTCTTTCTTTCTTTCGTTCTTTCTTTCTTTCTTTCTTTCTTTCGTTATCTCTTTCTTTCTTTCTTTCGTTCAGGCTTTGGAGGAAGGACTGTTGTCCTCCTCCGGGCGTCAAGGCCCAGCCCGTGTTGCCCTCACGGTTGCAGAGTGGGGCCTGATTAAGTTAAACCCAGAAAATTGTGACCGAGAGAAACTGATTTATGGGGCCCGCACTCCTGTAACCTGTCCTTCCAGCTGGTGTCACTGAAGGGTGAAAATGTTTTTGCCAACAATGTGATTCTTATGGCAACACCAATCGCGGGCTAGACCTTTTGTTCTCTCTCTCTCTCTCTCTCGCTCGCTTGCGCTTGCATGTGCTTGCATGTGCACATCGAGAACCAGGAGCGGAGCCGATGAAAACTGACAAGAGCAGCAAGCCGATTCCGAAGAAGCCCTGCGCATTTGCCGTGCTCTGATATGACACGTTGAATGCCGTGTCCAGTGTCAAGAGTTGCAAGAGATGCGCGCCCAGAAATGACCGCTGGTCAAGTCGAACGACATCCTCGTCAAGAGCATGGACGCGGCGGAGTTGATAGAAACAAAGCAACCATCAGTAAGTCCACAGCTGGCTTGGTGGATTCGACATTGGAAAGAAAGCAATCTGCAAAGAGAAAAACACCAACATCTCCAAAGCAAGCACATGATGAGACAAGCTCAGTGAAGCAAAAATGGCAAAAAAAAATCGCCTGCCGCGATCCCTGAGGTTGCGGAAGCCTCAAACACGCTCACCTGACCGAAATCTGCAACATACCTTGGTTCGCGGCCGATTGTTCATGCCCAAGTCAGCATTCCACGGCTGCACAACACCTTTCGACAGCTTGACGACATGGCTTGCCAAGCGGTATCTCACCGCGAAGTGCGAATGCAATGCCACGCTGCTGTTCGCCTGCTGGTGCAGATCCAAAGCGCAAGAATCCCGAAGGGGCGCTCAAGTTCAGCGCCTTAAGGTACGTCAAAGAGGCGTGCGCGCAAACAAAGCTGAAATGCTCTTGGAGCCAGATCACGGCCCTGTAGAGGTCTCGCTGCGCTCGACTGATCATCAGTGGCTCCTTGAAGACCATCCAGATAGTGTCTGTCCTGGAGGACCCCAGCTCATTTCATACAATTGCAGCGCCCGCTACACAGTTCATGCCTTTGTAGAGGTTTGCATATGTTGCAAAGTCGGGTCCCACAGGGCGGGACTGTGGAGCTTCCATTAAAGGCGAAGAGCGACCTGTCTCCTGACGGACCCCTCTAACGAGTCCAGTCTAGCCATCATCTGCAACACAGGTAAGCAGACCTGGCAAAGCGTAGAAGGGGTTAGCGATCTGAGCCGGAACCCTGAGCAGCAAGCAAACAGTCGGAGACAATGAGAGCAGGACACAGCGAAAGAGCCCCGCCCATCTTCGCTTGCAGTAGGCGGAAACTGCGGCCAAAACCTGCAGCGCTTCACTTCGCCAGTTCATGTTGGTAAGCCTTGCGGAGTCACTAGCGTCAAGGGCTGCGCGTGTTCAGGTACTCATTGCCCTCCACGAGCCCCACCTGGCCAATTAGCATCTAAGGCTCGAGAGCCAAGAGTGCAATTCGCGGCATAAACTGCTTCTACTAGTGCAAGAACCGCAGATCCCGCGCACGCACACTCCAAAGTATAAACATGAATTGTTCCAACCATCCCACGATTTGGAAGCACCTTTTCACCAAGTGACCTCTGCAGCTAGTAAGCAGTGACTGCCTATTACTTGCACGCATTCACTGCATTCCGAACGTGTTGATCCCAACCTAAATTTCTGTGCAAACACTTGATATGCCTGATTGCCACTGCAGACCCCTCACCTGAGCAAATGCCTTACGATCAACAGCAATTCGCCGCCGGTTCTGCCAGGAACCCCCCTAGTGAGACTGGCATGCTGCGTCTCTGCTCTGCGATTCTTTGCATGACGTGTCTACCATGTGCTACGCGACTGTTGTGGGCTAGTCGCCTTCAGGAAAACAGACGTGACGAGGAGCTGGCCGTCTGCAGCCTTGACTTCCATCCCAATTCCACCCAAGCCCGCTGCGAAGGGACATGTATATCGTGACGTGGCAAGCTGCTGCATTATGCACGAGCTGCATCTCCATGTCGAAACCTGCCAGCTGCTTTCTCAGTTGCTATACTGGAACAATATGAACGTCTGCTGTCGGGCTAAGTCTTGAGCTTTGCCCATCGAGACTGTTCTCTGAAGGGGACGTGAACTCAATTCGGCGCCTCAGAGTGCACCACCAAGGTTCTGAATGCCGAATGGCATACCGCCCGCATGACAGAGAGGCCAACAAATAGAATTGCTTCCCATTGATGAATGTCAGGAGCGTGGTCGTGTCGAAGGGTGACTGGAGTAGAACCTGCCCGAGCTGTCTGCAGGGTTCTGGTGTGAGCAAATGGTGACCACTTGAAGCCTGCCACCCCCGCGGAGTTGTGCCGAGCAGAACGTTTACCAAGGGCCTGCATTTTCATGTGCACGTCCGAACTCTGGCCTTCCCAGTGCTTCCAGTCAACGGTGCCAGAGCCACCAGGAATAGTTCCAAACTATGCTCCCCAAGGTGGATGCATGTCCACCTTGGTCCACGTCACTGCGATTCAAGAAAAAGCATGACCGGCTTCGGGACTGGCCTCGTGACCGGCAACACGCTTCTGGCTACGAAGCTCAACTGCAGTGCTTTGTCAAGCGGCTCGTCTGAAGACGAAGTGCGCGTTCTGGCACTGCTCGTGCTTCCGCCTTAGGGTGTTGGCTCATTGGAAGACCGCTAGCTGTTCAGCAATCTTCAACAAACAAGGGAAGCTGGCATGGCAATGGATCGCGCAATTTTCTCAGCCAATGCATGGACGTTGATGCCATACGGCAGCACTTGCCACGTGAAAGGCGATGCTGCAATTCTTTCAAAATCTGCCCCAAACGCTCATCAAGTGCAGCGGGTGGGTTCACAATCAGCACGGCAGACCTGCAAACATGCAGAGAAAGACCTCCAGTGTCTAGCTAACTGACAACAACATGAGCAATGCCTTGACTGGGCCAATTTGTGTCCATCCGCATGCCCAGATTCAGTCTTGTCAATGAGCACTGTGATCTGAGCTGCCAATATGCTGCCCATGTGGAGGTCCACCAGGCGCTGTTCCAAGTTATTCCTGGTTGGATTGCAATGCATGTCAGATGGTTCTACGCAGGTACTGTAACACCTCAACACTCCATAGTGGATTAAGGCTCGTCTGCACGTCCGAAATGCAGGGATACCACAACAAGATGCAGCTGGAAGGCCATCTCATAGCCAACTGCTTGACAAGAAACAGGTTCCATTTGTCAGAGGAGCTAGCAGAGTCATACGGCGGGTCCACAAGGACGGCCACTCTTGCACTTGAATTGGAAAAGAGCGTGCGTTCGTTTTTTGCGAACCACTCGTACGAGTTTGCACAAACAACACTCGTCTGGCCTGACGACGTGCCATGTTGCAGCTGGAGCTGGAGCAGGCTGTCTGTCAGAACGTCAGCCACTTCTGGCGATGCTTCAAAAAACACGGCTGAATCCTGAGGCCGTAGGAAGTACTGCGCAATGGCTGGTGAACCGGGGTAGTAGCGAAGGGACTCCTCACCCAGCGCGAGGTTGACTCTCCGAACCGTGCCGCAGAAGTTTTGCATAGTGTGCAGCTCGGAGGAATGCTCTGAAGCTGCCAAGACATCGATGCCTCCGAGATAGTTTTGAAATCGCATTGCTTCTGGCGACCTCAAGTCATAGAGTCCTGAACCTCCATGCGTGTCGATGTACAGAAAAGGCTCAGCATCTTGCACTCCACACTCGAGCACAGCGCACAAGACGAGATGTTTCAAGCAATCTGCCGGTGCCCCGGCTTGGTAGTAGTGAACATAGTCAATGTCTTCCTCCTTCCAATCATCATAGCCTTCATGCAGCGCGCAGGACTGAATGGGACGCTGCATGCTTGAACAGGGCTTGTTGCAGTTGGCACGGTAGGTCCTAGCCTCCGTCAATGACCATTTGCAGAAGCCAATGCGTCAGCTCCCAGTGCCCGGAATGCTCGCATGCGTTCAGTACAGATGTGAATGTAATAGCCTCAGGTAAGATTTGCAAGACTTTTTCAGCAGCCGTATTAAGAATTCATTAAAGCACGTGTCCCGCTGCCTGGCCGCACTAAGGCCGGAGCATCAACTTGGACAACATGCTCCTGCATTCGTCTAAGGATATCTGTGGCGGCAATCCATTGTCTGCTCTTGTCGCAGGCGTTTAAGGCTGCATTGAAGGATGTTGTGTCGGGATCCAGCGAAGACTGTTCCTTATGCATTCAAAAACGAGAGATACTGCACCAGTCCTGAACATCCTAGAACACGCCCCGGGCTTAGAGCCCTCACACCCGACCTGAGCGCGTCATTCCAGTTAAGCAAGGTTGCGAGTTCCTCCAGCAGCATTAGGGAAGCAGTCCATGCAAGTCCCTTCCCACAAGAACTGATGGCGCCGTTGTACGAGCCGGTATTCCTGACGTGGCTCCAGGTTCTGTAGATAACGCACAAAGCCCTGCGAAGCTTGCCCAGCCTCATCACTCGTGCTGCGGGCATGTACAGCAAGTCCAAGGCAAGTTGCCACATTGATGATTTTTCACATGCGCCGATCACAGCCTTAGAGCATCCAAGCATGTGTCATCAAACAGAGACAGCGTGCGCTGCACATGGTAGCAAAGGGAAAAGCTAGCAAGCGCAGACTGAAAGAAATCTATCCGGGCAGCATTAATTAAGACCACATCAAGTTCAAGTCTGCCTCGATCATGCTGATGGAAAAAATGCAGAGCAGTCGTCCAATGAAGACTGCTTCCAACGTCACCAACGATGGAAGTGTATGTTCTTGTGTCCATCAAGACTCCTTAGACTTGCGCCAGGCAAAGAAGAAGAATTAAGCAAATCCTCCTCCTCGTGACCACCGCGAGGCCTCCTGAGCCCGAAGCTACACAGACCTTTCCACCAAACTTTGTTGTGCAGCGACAAACCGTCAGCGAGAAATACCATGAATCCAGATCCAGAACACGGCTCAATGCTGAGAATGCAGCTGACAACAATTTGCTCACCCAAATGTCAGAGAGGATGTCGCTACTCCCCATAGCTTCAATACCCCGTCAAGCAAACGAATTCGGTCAAGCGATCAAGCCCAACACCAGTTCATGGAGTTGGGCCTGATTACCGCAAAGTCTTCCCTCCATATCCCTCCATCACATGAACACTGGTCCTAAAGATTTTGTGCAGTACCTACATAGATGGCAAGCCGCAATTGCTCAACCAATGCCGCATGGTGAAAGATCAGGGGAAGGTCTGAAAAGGCCTGGAGAGAAAGACTTCGAATCCCTGAACGCCCAAGTAGATGTTAGGAACATACCGAGATGTGCTTCACGCATCTTTCCAGAACCAGGCGTCTGAGGGTGCCCATGTCATCAAATGCTTCTAGCGACTTCAGCCAGCCACTGCTGCCAATAGCATTGATCACTGCATTAAACGTATTGCTTTGGCAATTTGACTTGTGCGGAATGCCGCCAAAAATCGACAGTGCATGTGTCCATTGCTGCGCCGTCCCACATGCCGTAATGGTTGGATTCCAGGTCCATGCTGTGCTTGAGATGCCAATTTGAGATATCTGTTCCAACAGGCATGCCGCTGCTGTCCAATGTCCAGTCTTTGAACAGCTGGCCAGGCTGGAGCTACACATGACAATGTTGACCTCAATGCGCACCTTCAGGCGGAAAATGCGGAAACACGTTGGACACCATCAACGTGACATGACTGCATGATCAGGCTACACACTCTTCCATGCAGCCGATGCACCTTTTGCATTTCATGCAACAGTGCTAATGCGTGGCTCCAGCGGCGGGACTTGGCAGCAGACAGCAAAGCCTCGCGCGAGACTTCATCGGAGCGTCTATCTCTTCGGAAAGGGGCTGCAGTAACCGCAGACGTCTTGCGGGCAACGGCATCGAAACGGTTCGTGGCCTCGCCACGTGCCTGACAGGCCTGACAGCTGTCTTTCATTTGCGCCCGCCGCGAAATGCACGCATTTTCTTCTTGTTCGTGTGAGGCTCTGCAAGTTGGTCCGCATATCACTTTGCAGCCAGCTGTATCCAAACAAATCAGTGGCTTTGCTGGGGTGTGTTTCAGCGATGGCCCGCCTGATTCCGACTTCGAAGGCGTCAAGCAAAGCTTCTGACGCAGGGCTGCAGCGCGTCCACATAAATACTCAATCGAAACCAAAGTGGCGTCCACTGGGCCCATGACACACCCCTAAGCTTGCAGTCTTTGATCTGGAGGTCAAAAGGGAGTCACTTGTGGCCATGTCAACTGGTACGGCACAACAACGGCTTGCATCTTCCGACGTCTTTTGCACATCGGGACGCAAAGAGGTCGGCTTAAGAAACAACAGGTTGAAGGCTTAGCCTGAAGTGAGTCATACACTTACAGGTGTGTTTGAGAGATACTGCCAGAGATGCTCCAGCATAGAAACTAGAGGAGAGGCAATTACTAAAATGTTGCGCTTATGTTCTCGCTTTGTTTCCTGGAAGAATCCAACCAAGCGCTCAGAGTTTGTTGAAGGCGCCTTCTTCCAGGCCCCACTCCTGCTCTGATCATGGAAGGGGGGAACGAACTACTTGACAAGTAGGACATCATGAAAGTCAAGCAGCCCACCGCACTGCACAAAGACGCGGGTAGAACACACGCTGCCAGGTGGCTGCCAAGCCCTACAACATAGGCCAACATGAATCCTTGTACATGAAGGCATCACCGCGGCCAATGCTCCATAGCATGTCATCCCACACGGGGATATGACCTGCATGTACTTAAACAGCTTGAATGAAGCACGTGCAGTACAAGCCGATTCCGCAGCCGAGCTGCAGTTTCGCACTGTAATAATGCCTCCGCGGGCAACGAGAAACTGTGCTGCCTTGCCACATCCGCCGTGCATTGCGCCTTAGTGCCCATGCAGCATGCAGCTTCCCTCGGCTGACACCCACGTGGCGAGAACACCAAGTCAATAGCAATCCACAGCGTTGTAATTCCACAGGACGGGATTGATCTCGTTGATGTCCTGAATCGACAATCCGGATGGCAGCTTCTCTGCAACTACCCAAGAGTCGAGAGCATGCTTCTCTCTTCACAATTTACGCGGTTGCTGTGAAACATTGCCTTGGCTTGCCTAGATGAGCAGTAGCACATGCATGGCGAATGCTTTGCAGCCAGCTGTTGAAATATTGCTGCCGCAGCATGGCATTGCAGCTGACTAGTGGCGCACTGGGAGCGGAAACCTGCAAACCATCACGACACAGTAGCGCCTTGCATTCTGTCCCGCTCAGCAAGCCTTGCTGCTACCAGTAAACAACTTTCCACAAAGCTTGTGCCTGACCACGAACGAACCATTCCTTCGTAATTTCTCCTTTCTGAGATTGATTCGCGGGAGAATGCCATGAAACTCCAGCAGGGGATTTGGAGCAGCGCTGGCAGCGGCTGGAAGTATTGCACAAGACTGAACCAGCGGAAGATCAATGGCAGCCAGACTCGAGTTTAGAGGCTGGCCCCAAAGGTCGCTCTGAGTGCCCGTGAAGATTGAGAGGACTGTGCAGCAATCAGTTCGGAACAGTTTGGAATATTCCAGTCCTGGATCGCTCCCATCGACGAGAGTGTGATGAAATCTGATGTTTTGAGAGAAGTGCATGGCACGGAAAGATTGAAAGTGTAGCG